AAGCCACCCCTGAGTTCCTGGCCGGATGCCAGGCAATCCAGTTCCTCCTCATACATATCTGTGTCCCCCAAAGCCTTGCCCTGGTGCTGGAGCTCAGAGGAAGCAGGACTTTGTAAGTCCAGTTCATGGTGCTGGCCTTTTAAGAGGAACAGCTGGGTTTCCAACAGCCTCTGTATCACTGAGACCCAATCCACACTGGTTTTTTACAGCCTGTAGTTCTTACTGCCTGTAGAGACTTCTTGAGTGTAATCCAAATTATCAAGAAACTAAAGATTGTTCTGGGACCCTGGGCTCGGGGGTCTGGTGTGGGGCTGGGACCCCTTACTCCTCCAGGCAGCCTCCACAGAGATGATCTCCCTCCTGATTAAAAAAGTGGCCCATATGGGTGCCAGACGAGCCCGTTCAGCGCCTCCACACCTCCTACCAATCTCAGTGTGCTTTCTTCTTTACTTCTCCAGTTGTAGGACTTCCATTCAGCCAGATTTCCAGCAGTTCTGGATGATGATTGTTCTATATTTTAGTTGTAATTTTGATGTGGTTGTGGGAGGCGGTGAGTACTGGCATTTACCTATGCCATTATCATCAAATCTAGGGTCCTAATCTTTTAAAAAAATATATTTTATTGATTTTTTACAGAGAGGAAGAGAGAGGGATAGAGAGTTAGAAACATCAATGAGAGAGAAGCATCGATCAGCTGCCTCCTGCACACCTGCTACTGGGGATGTGCCTGCCACCAAGGTACATGCCCTTGACCGGAATCGAACCTGGCACCCTTCAGTCCCCAGGCCGACGCTCTATCCAGTGAGCCAAACCAGCCAGGGCTAGGGTCCTAATCTTTTTGAGGAAAGCATTCAGTCTTTCTAGAACAAGTATTATGTTAGATGTAGGATTTTTGTAGATGTTCTTTATTGAGTTGAGGTAATACCCCTTTCCTAAGTTGCTAAGATTTTTTTTTTTTTTATCATGGATTTGTACTGGATTTTGCCCTGCTTTTTCTGTCAATTTATATAATCCTAGGATTTTCTTTCTTTAGTTTCTTGATAATGTGGATTACATTAATTTATTATTGGATGTTGAACCAGCCTTGCATATCTAGAAAAAATCCCATTTGGTTGTGATTATATATAGTTTTCATTTATGCATTGTTAGATTTAGTTGAGTATTTTTTTTCTTGAGGCTGAGGATTTTTTCATGTAATTTCATGAATAATAGTTGATCTCTAGCCTTCCTTTTTATACTCTTTGTATGGTTTTGGTATATGATAATAATGGGCTCCTACAATGAGTTGGGAAATGCTCTTTCATCTTGTAATTTCTGGAACAATTTATGTAAAGTTGATTCTTCATATGTTTGGTAGAGTTCTCCAGTGAAAAAAAGTGGGTGTGGAGATTTCTTTTTGGGAACTTGTTAATTATGAATTAAATTTCTTTCACGGTTTAGAGCCACTTAGATTATTAACTTCATCTTACTTGATTTTTTCCTTCCAAATTAATGAATTTAGGAGCATAAAATTTTTATAGTATTTCCTTATTTGATGGTTGCAGGATCTGTAATAATAGCCTCTACTTCATTCCTGATATTGGCAATTTGTTTCTTTCTCCCCCCCAACCCCTGTTAGTATTGCTACAGGTTTATCAATTTTATTGATTTTTCTGAAGAACCAGCTTTTTATTTCATAAATTTTCTCTATTGTTTTGCTATTAATTTCATTGGTTTCTGCTCTGATATGTTATTTTCTTCCTTCTGCTTGCTTTCATTTTATATTGTTGTCATTGCTATTATTGTCATTTAATGTAAATTCTACTATTATTACTTTGTGAAGTCAATATTTATATATATTTACCCACATATAAGTTCATTCTTATGTTTTTCTTTCCTTCCTGCATTTCCACGTTTCTTTCTGGGATCCTTTTCTTCTGTTTCAAGGACTCCTTTCTTTCTTTCTTTTTTTATTGAATTTATTGGGGTGACAATGGTTCACAAAACCATACAGATTTCAAGTATAGAACTCAAAACATCATCTACACCCATCGCCCAAAACATAGTCTCTTTCCATCCCCGTTTATCCCCACTTTGCCTACCTCCACCTGCCCCGACCCCCTTTCCCTCTGGGCTATCACCACACTGTTGTCTGTGTCCATGAGTTATGCATATATGTTCTTTGGCTAATCTCTTCACCTTCTTTTATCCAGTCTCCCCTTTCTTCCCTCTGAGAGCTGTCAGTCTGTTCTATGTATCCATGTACCTTTTTCTATTTTGTTCATCAGTTATTTTCTTCATCATATTCCCACATATAAGTGAGATCATATGGTATTTGTCTTTCTCTGACTGGCTTATTTCTCTTAGCATAACAATCTCCAGGTCCATCCATGCTGAAGGACTCCCTTATTTCCTTGTTGGGCTTAGAATGGTTGTATACTCTCTGAAAGTGTAGTTCATCTATTAGTAATTGTTATTGAAGCTCTCTTATGCATTTAAAATATGATTTTTGTGATGCATCCATATTTAATTAGTTATCAGAGGAGAATTATTTATTTGTTGTGATGTATTATGTTCTACCTGGATGCAGAAGGTGTGATTATTCTCAAATGTCTTTTTAAACTTGATTGTAATCTACATGAAGGTAGGAACGTCGTCTGCTATGCTTGTTTTGGGTTGTCTGACATTTATAAATAAATTAATGAATGAATAATTGAGATATTGTCTGTAAATTACTGGTCACATCGTAGACATTTGATAAAATAAATGCTACTTTTCTTTCCTCTTTGATCCCTGTCAACTGTATATCATAGTAGTATGTAGGCTAAAATTTGTATCTATTATCAGTCATTTTGCCTGCCTTTGAATAAAGGGAGCAATAGAAACCATCATGAAAGGCTACTGAGCTGGAATGTTGAGGTACTGACTGACCTACTTATACAGGTTTACTGGGGCTCAGACTTGTAACTGACAGCATGAGGATTTGACTTTTTTCATTTTATGGTTTTGAGATTTAGGTTGCACCAGTGGATGATTTGTGAAGTAAACACTCTCATATTTCAGCTGCAGAAACATGTTAAGTTATACATAATCTCTTTATGAATTCAAACTGGAGGGTGCCATGATAATCACTTGGCATTCTTTCTGTGTAAGAATCCGCAAATGAGGAAAGGAGCCCATGGAAAATGAAGTACAATGCATAGCATAATGTGACTGCATGGATAAAAGGAAGCAGAGAGGTCGCCATTCTACCCAAGTTAGGTAATAAGGTTTTTGACATATAAGGAAATAGTGCTTATAAGTAGCTGGTTTTCAACATGTATCTATGATTCCTGTAAAAGTAGTTGCTGCCCCCTCTGCATTCTAGAAACAAGAACTATATTGGTAGGATATAGCCAATAATAAGTCAGCCAGCCGCTCTGGTTATCGATGGTTATGACACAAATTGTGGGAAAAGGATTTATACTTGGTCATTTTTCAAAAGGGATGTTCTAAGAGAAATTCATTGGGTTGTCTGAAATTCTTAAATTATTATCCTCAAAACTGTGACATTTTTAGAAGAGAAGCATCATATTGCCTCCAAAGATAATACATCATAGCAGATGAAACATAAAAGGAATTTTTGAGTTAATCAACATAACTTTTGCTTTTTAAAGCATTTCATTTTCTTTGGGAGCCAAAATTTTCTACATTTTTATAATTCCATTTGCTCATCTTGTGAATCAAGTAGAAGCAAGATCGTTCTAGTTCTCCCAGGACCTTGGCTTATATGTGGATAGAATTTTTAAATTGACAGAGCCTACTCCCCTTCATTTTCATATTTGGGTCTCACAGCAACCCTTTGAGATAGGCAGGAAAAAAGAGTTGCCTTATAGGTATGGAAACCAAGACTCTTAAGTCCTGGAAAGTGTTCTTGCCTTCATCCCATTCTGTTATACCAGAAGCTGAGTTTATGTTCAGACCAGCTTAGTTATTCTTTGTTCTGCTGCTTAGATCATCACATTTCAATTTTACTAGAAAAAAAATAAGTAAATTTTTGAATTCTTGCTGGATCAAAAGACCAACTTTCTCAAATATTTAATTAGACATATATAGTAACCTACCTTGAACTCTGCTTTCATCTAAGAAATCCTGTCACAGTAAAATATGCTGGTGAAGAAAACTTTCAAATGATAAAAAAAATGCAGGTTAAGATGAAGTGCCTGAATTAAAAATTTTGTTTTTCAAAGATAGCTTTCCTACTCAAATGACAGAAATGAGTGGCAAGGCTTTACAGTAGAAAGAACAAACATGATTATTAATTTGTAGTAAACCACATTTCTTCCTGTAGCATCTATCATTTTCCTTCTACTGAGTCTAGTATGTTTTTTTCTATTGATGATAAACTTTCAGATAAAAAATAATCAGACTTGGTAATTTTGTTTATATCTATAACTAATTATAGCCATTTTATGAACAAAATGAAAAAAAATTTAGCCTGGGGTTGAATGAATCTGCCTTTTTTGTATGGTTTATTGAATTCTCAATAATACTTCCTCATAACTTTGCAAGTTATTTTTATAAAGCATTAGGCCCATAAAATTGGCCTTGCCTTTGGTGGAGCCCCAGGGGCTGGGAGCATCTCTGCTTAGCCACCCCATTCCCATTTCTGTCTCGTTTCATTGCTAACTGATGTGGGTTCTGTCTCTTTCTCTCTTTGTCTCTGTTCCTCTGTCTGTCTCTCTCTCCATATATATGATGTGTATGTGCGTGTGTATGTGTATACATACACATATACATATATACGTATGTATACAGATGCATATACATATACACTCCACAAATAATTGGCTGGAATGAACATTTTATTCAGTATCTATCTACTTTAATATATTTACCTTATTTTCCTGAATTAACTAGTTGCCTTGGAATTTTAATTTATTCAAATAATATTTAGCGAGGGCACATGCGTCCAAGGGCATGTGATTTTGAGGGCACATGCGTCAGCACGCGCCAGCCACGGAGGAGGGGCAGCATGAGCCATGGTGGCGGACAGCAAACAGACCCCACAGAACCACCAGCAGTCCAATGGCTTTGTCTTCAAGCCTTTCCTGATTGGTATCAGTGGGGGCACGGCTAGTGGCAAGTCCTCTGTTTGTGGAAAGATTGTGCAGCTCTTGGAGCAGAACGAGGTGGACTACCGCCAGAAGCAGGTGGTCATCTTGAGCCAGAACAGCTTCTACCGGGTCCTCACTTTGGAGCAGAAGGTCAAAGCCCTGAATGGCCAGTTCAATTTTGACCACCCGGATGCTTTTGACAATAAACTCATACTCAAAACTTTCAAAGAAATTACTGAAGGGAAAACCGTGCAGATTCCTGTGTACGTCTTTGACTCCCATTACCGGAAGGAGGAGATGGTCACCATCTACCTCGCGGATGTGGTCCTCTTTGAATGCATTTTGTCATTTTACTCTGAAGAGGTGCGAGACCTGTTCCAGATAAAGATCTTTGTGGACACTGATGCAGACACTAGGCTCTCCCGCAGAGTACTAAGAGACATAAGTGAAAGAGGGAGGGACCTGTAACAGATTTTATCCCAGTACCTTACTTTTGTCAAACCTGCCTTTGAGGAATTCTGCTTGCCTACAAAGAAATACGCAGACGTGATAATTCCTCAAGGTGTAGATAATCTAGTGCAGGGGTGGGCAAACTTTTGGACTCGAGGGCCACAATGGGTTCTTAAACTGGACCATAGGGCTGGAACAAAAGCATGGATGGAGTGTTTGTGTGAACTAATATAAATTCAAAGTAAACATCATTACATAAAAGGGTACGGTCTTTTTTTTTTTTTTTTAGTTTTATTCATTTCAAACGGGCCAGATCCGGCTCGTGGGCCGTAGTTTGCCCACGGCTGATCTAGTGGCTATCAACCTCATTGTGCAGCATATCCAGCACATCCTGAATGGAGGGCTATCCAAGCAGCAGACCAATGGCTGTCTCAGAGGTTACACTCCTGCACATAAGAGGCAGGCCTCAGAGTCCAGAAGCCACACACATTGACCCTGTCTCCCTTGGACCCCAGTTCCACTCCAGGAGATAGAAAGACAGGGAGCTCTGGCCGTCTGTACATATGGTTTCTTATGACTGCTTATTTAAGAAAACAACATGGAGATAAAATGCCTTGAAACAGTACTTAACTCCAAGGTTATATGACGAACTGTACTTGACTCCAAGGTTATATGACGAACTGTGCCAACTACTACTGGTGATGCCTAATTATGAAGCCAATATATATATATATATATATATATATATATATATATATTAGAGGCCTGTTGCATGAAAAGATTCGTGCAATAGGCCTTCCCTTCCCCTGGCTGCCGGCACTGGTTTTCCTCCGGCACCCGGGACCCAGGCCTTCGCTCCGGCCAGAGCCGCCTTCAGGCCTTCGCTGCTCTGGCCAGAGCTGCCTTCAAGCCTTCACTACTCCAGCCGGAGCCACCTTCAGTCTTCCCTCCACTGCTTCATGCCTATGTATGCAAATTAACCGCCATCTTTGTTGGTGGTTAATTTGCATATCTCGCTGATTAGCCAATGGGAGGTGTAGCGAAGGTACGGTCAATTACCATGTTTGTCTATTATTAGATAGGATAATATTTATTGAGCACCCAATATGTGCAAGGTACTGTTCTAGATCCTAAGTATAAAGCAGAGAAGAAGACAAGAATAAATCTCTCACCTCATACAATATACATTCAAATGTAAGGAGAGACAGAATTAAACAATAAATAAAATGTATGGTATGTTGGTAGTAAGTGCTGTGGAGTAAAACAAAAGAATGTAGGGGGGCAGGAAGTACACTTGTGGTGTATGGGAAAGGGTGCCATTTGGAGTTGGTTGGCAAGTAATAATGCATGCAGATATCTGGGGAAGAGAACAGTCCAGGCAGAGTGAGAATGTCAAGTTCAAGGACCCTGAGATAGATCTATGTGTAGCTAGGTCTGTGAAATTCCAGGTGTTTGGAGCTAAGTATGGGAGGCAGAACATAGTAGGAAACACTGTCATAGATCACATGGAGGAGCAGATCATGGAGGGTCTTGTAATCCAGTGCAAGGACTTGTAAAAGTTGGAAGCCAGTAGAAGGATTTGCACAGGGAAGTGATATGATGACATGTGTTAACTGGATTACGCTGCCTGAAAACAGGTTTAAAGAATCCAGGGCAGCCGAAACCGGTTTGGCTCAGTGGATAGAGCATCGGCCTGTGGACTGAAGGGTCCCGACCAGGGAGGTAAGAGTAATAGGATTCTAGATGTATTCTGAAGGTATTACTAATAGGATTTTCTTATAGATGGGGTGTGGGTGTGAGTAATCAGGATGACTCTAAGGATTTTGCCCAAACAACAGGAAGGATGAGTTTGTTAGGAATTAGATGGGAAAAATTGAAGAGGAGTGGGTTTTAGGAGAAAAGTCTGGGTTTTGGACATGTTAAATTTGAGATGCCTATTAAATATTCAAGTGAAGCTACTAAGGATATATACAGCTGGGTTTTAGAAGATATATATGGTAGGTTTACAGTTGTGAGTATGCGAAACACAGTGTTTATTATTGTATTATTTATTTATTGTATTATTTTCCACATGAACAACTGTAAACCTATTTTTGCCCTATCCTGTGTATGTGTGTAATTTGTCTGCATACAGATGAAATTTAAATGTAAAGACATGAGAAAAATGAGCTCACCAAGGGAGTAAGAATAGATAAGAGAAGATGTTTGAGGACTGGGCCCTGGGGCCCTCTAACATTTAAAGGTCAGAGATGGGGAAGAGCTAATAGATGACTAAAATAGAGATGCCAGTGTGGTGATCTGAGAAACCCCAAATTTATGACTGACACAGTAAATGCAGAACAAAATTTGTTTCCAGGAGTCCCAACCCTGTTAGACTTGCACTCTCCATTGGTTTGGGAGTGGGGCTTCAGAGTTGATAGTGTATAAGGGGACTCCTCACTCTTTTTGAAATTTGGTGGTAGATAATTTCCTCATAATTTTGTTGCAAGATGGCAAAGATACTGGGCAGTGACAGATGTGTGAAAGCAAATATTATAATAGAACCATTTTTGTTCTAGTGAATGTAGTGTGTTATAATTAAGACATTGTTGCACTCCATCATCATGACAGGTCAATTTAGTACATTTCCAATTTCTTCTTTTTTTTCTAATTTGGGGGGTAGGGTGTGGTAGGATAGAGCTGTGCCAAAAGAGATCAACCATTTGAAAATTTGACATCATTTATTCTCACATTCAACATTAGGTCACATAAAAGAGGACCCAAAAACTATTTATGCCCTCTGTCGCCATTAAATTTCATGTTACCAGTGACAGCTTGGAGGCTGATTTCATATCCTTGTTTGTTTGAAGAGCCATTCTTACTGTACAAATCTCTTCTGAAGCAGAAGGTCAAGGCCATGTGTATTATGAGTTAAAAGTTCAGCCCAACTGTTGGTTCTTTGTTCTTTGACTTTTACCTTCCCTGAACTTGTCTGCTAGAATCTGTCATTTGTAAGAATCAATTTATAAAATTAGTGAGCTGGTACAATTTCTAAACATACCTTCAAGTCCCAGGTGAGCTTTCCTAAAGCACAGTGGCACTGCAGCATCCTCAGTGGTACCTAGGAATAGTACTAATTAATTTTCAGTGCTTTTCCCCATCTGAGAATTTTGGTCAGAAAAATGCATTTCTGAAAGATGGCCTGGAGCAGATTTAAGCACAGACCCCTTTAATTGGCATGAATGAGCAACAGTTGGACTTCACTTCAGCAATTCAGCATTCTTCCATGGTTAACCAGAATGCATAGAAACAATGGAAATTGCCTCTTAGTTCCCAAAAGGAGAAGAGAGAAGGGCAAAAAGACAGCAAAGCAGTAAATCGTCTGATTACCTTACTCCACAGGCATTGTTTCTGTGGTTTGTTTGTTAATGTGCACCCTACTATGAAAAGGGAATATTTGAATTATATACAGGCAGTATAGCAGTTGGACTACATAATAATTTTTTGTAATTTGATATAAATGTTCAAAAACTACGTTCTTTGAGTCATACATTGAAGGGAAAGGGCTTAATGTTCGAACCTGTCAGGTTTTCTGAAACCTTTATTTTCTTTTTGGGTTAGGCTTATCAAGTTTAGTCCCCGTTGCTAAAATGTTCTCTTGGTTATGATATATACACACACAAACACATACACATGGAACTGATTTTGAGAACGTTTTATTTCAAAAGAGAATTGTCAAACTAGAGAATAAAGAGTATGGAGGATGTGCTCAATTATAAGATATCATGTTTTATAAGGAATGAATTGTGCTCTTAGGCAGGTAAGCTGTATATAAACTCTTTCTATAAATATATACAGTGTGTATGAGTCTAAGAGAAATTGGGAAGGGAGAAAAAAATACTTGTAATGCTGTCATGCTTGCCTTCTGAGCTATGCTCTTTTATTTTCTTTTTTAATTGAATTTATTGTAATGACACTGATTGAGCTATGTTCTTATGGCCAATGTTCATAATTTGGAGACAAGCTGGTCACACAGGGGCCCCTCTGGTCACACTCTGTACCCTTGCACTGATTTGCTCAAAGATCCAGGGGAAAATATTTCAACTTTCCCTAATGATCTTTTTTTAACTTGCTGAAATCAACATGCTTTACCAAGTCCCAGGTCAGCACACTAGGGCCAACTCCATGAAGCACTGCTGGAATCACTGGCTCTGCTGTATGACCAGTTACCATGCCTCCAGAACTGGGAGACAATACATTTTTGTTGTTTAAGCCCCCCCAGTTTGTGGTGCTTTGTTATGGAAGCCCTAGGACACTAGTACAATGGGCACAAATATGACTTCCTAATGACAAAACCCAAAGACCCCTTCTTACTCACTCTGGTCATCCCCTCTGCACTTTTTAAGCCTATTAGTCACTTTCCTTTTTAAAATGGGAGAGTCGGCATGGTGAGATACAATAAACCAGAGCTCTGGAGTTAGGCCAAACCATTTTCAAAAATGCCCACCTTGCACCAATTTGTAAGACTTGCCCCATATCCAGTAGTTTCAGATTTTGACAACTGGGTTAAAATACTGACATTTTAGAAAATAAGCATCCTTTTATTTCAAACTGCTTGTTGTATGATGAGGTTTTCAGGTCCACATGTACCTGCTGCTCACCTTAGTAGGAAATGACGATGACAGATTTCACAGTTGTTTCTAGTGTCCTGTTACTAGCTTATGAGCAGCTGCGAATGGAGGGATGTTTTCCATCATGTGTCTTGGCAGAGGCATGTGCCTTGTTGATACCCTTGCTTAGTGCTTTCTCCCTGCCTTTGTCTACAAGCCTTTGCTTCACTGCTCATCCTCACCCATGCAGATCAGTGTGCTACAAGACCTGGTTATTTTATGTAATGACACCTTCTCTTTATATTTATGCATTCATTTCTTCACTCAAACACTTTTTTCTAGAAATGACTATGGGAAAGTTCCTGTGATTCTTTTTATCAAGTGGTAAGCAATACCTGACAATTATAGAGCTGCAAATCAAATGGTTATAAAGTTATAAAACTGTAAGTGTAAGTTATTGAAGAAATATGAGGTAGGCTTCTGGAGAATCTGGGGATATTGGGGCTGAGGTGATGCAGATGTCTCCACAAATGCATATAAATATCAGTTGTTTAAATCTCTCCCCTCCTCCTTTGTTTCAGAAGTGGCATCCTACATACTTTCTGAGGATCCACATCCCCTTCTATTTCCTGCCAGACTCTGCTCCATCAGTTATCTTCTCTCCGCAGTTCTTGAAGTACTCTTATTTTCTTGGAGTTTTTCTCTAACCTGGAAAATGTTCTCAAGCCTCCCCTAGTTCCCAGCCAATTCCTGTGATCTTACATCACAGTCTGTGTTCCTTACTTACATTCTGTAGTTACTACTGAGCTAAAAGTGCTCATTCAGTGTGTGCTATGGGTTGAATTGTGACCCCCCAAAATAAGTATGTTGAATTCCTAACTCCATATCTCAGAATGTGACCTAA